CCCCACACCCCAGCTTCTGTCACTGTCAGAGTGATTCCCCCCCCCTGCGCCGCCTGCCCCAACCCTCCCTCCTCTCATCTTCACCCTCATTTTTTCCTGTCCCTCTCGCTGCTGCCTCCTGGCCCCGCCCCCTCCCTCCGTGTCTGCCTCCCAGCCTTGGGAAGTCTAGGTCAGAGCTCCACTGGTGATCCCTGGGACCCCAGAGTGAAGGGTCACCGTCTGGTCCCCACCCACGAGGGGGCAGAAGGCTGCGTGGCTGTCTGGGAGAAGGAAATGTCTGTCCTGTGGCCCGGGACCTGCCCGCCACTGCCGCCCCCGGACCGGGGCCGAGTAAACACAGCCAGCAGCCTGGGGATATTTATACCGGAGCTGGGCATGGGGCCAGTGCCCACCACAGCCCCGGCCCAGCCCTGCCCCGCTGCCACCGCCAGCCCAAGCCAGCGTGGCACCAGCCAGCCAAGGGGATGCCGCAAGCACTGGTCACACCTCTGCCAAGGCGTTTCATGGGACAGGACGGGGACCCCCAGGGCTGTCCCCTCCACCCCAGCCCCCCTCACTGAAGCCCCGCCCACAGTGGGGTCACCCAGCAGACTCCACCTGCTCCAGACCCCAGCCCAGACAGAACAGGGCCCTCTACAAGTGCTCAGCAAGCTCACCTCTAACCTGGGGACCTGGCATGGCACAGAGGTGGGGCAAACACTCAGCAAGCTGCAGGCCCAGGGTTTTAGCCCCATTACCACCAAAAATATAGCAGTTGGGCGCCGGTGGCTCATGCCTGTAATCCTAACTACTCAGGAGGCTCAGACCTGGAGGATTGGGGTTTGAAGCCAGTCCAGGCAGAGAGTTCTTGAGACTCTTGTCTCCAATTAACCAACAAAAAAATATGTACTAGAAGCATGGCTCAAGTGATAGAGCACCCCAGGCATGGGGTGGGGGGGGAGCCAGGCACCACGGGCTCACAACTGTAATCTTAGTTACCCAGGAGGCCGAGATCTGAGGATGGAGGTTTGAAGCCAGCTGGGGCAGAAAAGTTCATGAGACTTTTGTCTCCAATGAACCACCAAAAAAATGGGAATTGTGCTATGGCTCAAATGGTAGAGCATCAGCTTTGAGGAAAAAAAGCTCAGGGTCAGCATCTGGGCTGTGATTTCAAGCCCCAAGGTCAGCATACCAAAAAAAAAAGAGGATTGAAGGCAAGAGTTCAAGCCCAAGTACTAATGCACACGAGAGAGGGGAGAGAGAGGAGAAAGGAGAAAACCAGCTGCCGGTGGCTCACACCTGTAATCCTAGCTACTCAGGAGGCTGAGATCTGAGGATTGAGGTTCAAAGCCAACCCAGGCAGGAAAGTCCATGAGACAACTCCATGTGGCTCAAATAGTAGAGCGCTCGCCTTGAGCTGAAGAGCTGAGGGACAGCACCCAGGCCCAGAGTTCAAGCCCCCGGACAAAAAAAAAAGTAAAACATATAACACTAGCTTCCCCAAATATCATCTTTCTCACAGATCCAAGAATACATGCAATAAGCACCTAGATTTCAAGTACAAATGATACAAATGACACTAAGAATGCAGAAGTTCACACCCAGAGAACTGTGAAGATGCTGAGAACACACACACACACACACAGAGCAATCAATGCCAGGAGAGAGCCACAGAAAGGCCCCAGCTTTCATCACAGCCTCACACACGGAGCCGGACACGTGCTGGAGACGCACACCCTGAAATGATAATGCCAGCCAGGCCACAGGCTGCCGGGCCCCGCCGCTGCACACACATCACACACAACACAAGAGGATACCTGCCCAGTTACAGCCGAGACAAGCCTGTGGAGATGCGGGAAGTGGGGTGCCCTCCCCCACCCCGCCCTGCCCTGGTCCCCACAGGTCCCTCGAGGGGGCAGGAAGACTGCACTGGCCGGGGCCACTTCCTGTCATGCCGGACAGGAAGCCCAGGCTCCAGCCGGAACCCAAGCTCCCCCCCAACTTCCCCCAAAGCCCCTGGCTGATGCCCGCAGAGGTGGAGCAGGGGTGCGGCCAGGAGGGAGCAGGGCACCCTGAACCCCCTGCCCTGCGGTCAGCCCGTGCAGGCGGGCAGGGCAGGGCAGGGCAGGCGAGTCCTGAGTGGGTCAGGGCCAGGCCACCCAGAGGGCTTGGGGAGCAGGGGGGAGGGGAAGGGGGCAGGGCAGGGGGCACACGGCCAACACAGGTGCTGAGCCCGCCCTGCTTTGCCCAGCACCCTCACCCCTGCCAACGGAACCTCACTGCAGGAGTCGGACAAAGCCAGTATTCGTGCTCCCAAGGCCTGGACAGACCTCAAGACCTCTGGGGGGGGGGGTTCCTACAAACTGCTAAATATGGGCTCCTGGGATGTAATAGGGGCCCTCAGGGTGACTGGAGACCTCAGGAGTTGAAGGGAACCCCAGGGTCTAATGGAGACGCTCAGGGTGATGGGGGACCCCAGGATATGATGGGCGCATGGCCAGCTGTGGGGCCATGTGGGGCTCCCTAGGCAGGGACAGAGGGGTGAGAGCTGTCAGACAGTGCGTAGGACCAGCCTCAGCCTCGGTCTGGGACTGTGACATGTGTCAGCTCCGTGGGTGGCGTGGGTGGGGCTCTGGCAGGTCACACGGTGACCATGACCCATGGAGGATGTTTGTGTAAGTGCGGGGCGGGGGCCAGGGGGCCTCATTTCCTGATGGGGCTCTGACGCTCTGCTATGTGTCTGTGTGACACGGCCTGGAGCCATGTCTGGTGCGAAGTGACCCTATGGAATCTATTTGTGTGGCTCCTTTGACTGGTGTCATGTCCTAACAGAGTTTGCTGCGGGGCTGGGCTGTGTTTATGGGATGGGGTGACGCTGTGTCTGTTTATATCTCTGCGACTGTGACTGCACACTTATCCTGGGATATACGGCAATCCAGGTGTCTATCAAGGTGAGGTTGTGTGTGTGTGTGTGTGTGTGTGTGTGTGTGTGTGTGTCCAAGTCTCAGCCTCAGTGGTTTCTGCACACACAAGGCTGGTAACCAAGGCAGCCCCACCACCACTCATACCCCCCCCACCCCATTGTGGCTCCCAGACAGGAAGAGACTGAAGGAGGGAGTGGCAAGACCCTCTCTCACCCCAACCCACTGCTGCCAGTGGCCTCAGGCCCCCAGGCCCAGCCTCTCTGCCCACTTTTGCAGACGATCCCTGCACCAGGGAGACGTGGAGGGGCTTGGGAAAGGCAGGGGGAGGGAGGAAGTGAAAGCTGGGTGGAGAGGAAGCTGAGAGGCCCAGAAAGAGGAAGTAGGGGAGAAGTCATCAGTAGGTCTCCACAACCGGCCACCCCTTGAGTGGATCAACTCACTCCCCCTTGTTCACAGGCCTGCCGTAGCTCCCGTGTCCCACCAAGCTCCCGTGGCCTAGAGGAGGGCTTACATACACAGCCCTGAATTCAAATCCTAGCTCTGCGAGCTTCACAAAATAACTTAACCTCTCTGTGCTTGACTTTTTTTTTTTTCGCTAGTCCTAGGGCCTGAACTTTCCGGAATCTCTTTAGCTCAAGCCTAACATTCTACCACTTGAACCACAGCTCCACTTCTGGCTTTTTGGTTGGTTCACTAGAGATCAGAGAGTCTCATGGATATTCCTACCCAGGCTGGCTTTGAACCACCGATCCTCAGATCTCAGCCTCTTGAATAGCTAAGATTTCAGGCATGAGCCACCAGGGCCCGGCTAAGCTTCTGCCAGAAAAGCCTCTTCTCAATTCTGCTAAAGCAGTGACCACGAGCAGTTATGTCGATGGAAGAACCTGGCTGGAATCCAATGTAACTTTATTTACGAAATCAGCCAGTGAGCCGGGGCTGGCCCCAGGCTGCACTTGGCCCAGCCATGCTCAGTGGCTGTGGGAAGTGTGCGGTGAGCTAGAACCTCACACCTGGCATGTAGATTGTTATTACTTTCCGGCCAGTGAGCATTCCCATCTGACTCAGCCCCCAACACCCTTTTCTTGCTCACATCTCCCAGCCACGCCAGCCTCTTGCCCCTCCCAGAGCTGGTCCTCACTTCCGGTCTTGGCTTTTTTTTTTAAAGTCAAGGCATGGCTAGACAGGCAGGCCTACCATTTGAGCAACACTCTAGCCGATTTTAGCGTTTTTTTTTCCTATCACAGTATCTTCGGTTTGTTTTTCCTCCTTAAACCTGACTAGACTGTAATCCTCTTACTTAATCTTTCCTCCGCATCTAGGATGACAGGCATGGAATTACCGTGCTCAGCTTTCTCACTGAGAAGGAAGACTCTCGATTTTTTTGGAGGGGGGCTTGGCCTCCAACTGTGATCCTCCCTCTCAATCACCTCTGGAGAAACTGGGATTACAGGCATGAGTCACCACACTCCATTCTTGGTCTTTCCTTTTGCTAGTCTATCAGGAACAACCCCTCCCCAGTCACCCCTAGGCAGCTGGCCTTTTTGGTTTCCTTAAGTCTCCTGACCTTCCTCCCAGCAATCCTCTCTACCCTCACTAACCACCCCTCTCTGTCACTGCTTCCTACTATATATCCCTGAACCATTATATTTTGCTGTCTCTCACTCCCAAAAGTAGATTCCTAGTGGGCTGGAACACTGGATGTCTTTTCTTTTTCTGTCTTTCTTTGGGACAGAGTCTCAACCATGTAACCCAGACTGTCCTGGAATCCCCTCAGCAAGCTCCTCCTCATCTTTTGAATTTATAATCCTCCTGCCTCGGCCTCCTGAGCTGGGATTATAAGCATACATCACCGAGCCTGGCTCCTTAGTTTCTTTTCCTCACTCTCGAAGATGGGGTTGTCTGACTCTGTTGCCTCGGTTGTTGCTAAGATGACGCAGGAATTCCTTGACAGAAGGCCCTTCGCTGGGTAAGCAGATCTAATTAAGGTTCATCATCCTGGCCCCTGCCTGTGCCTACAGGGGTTTAAGTGATGGGCAGATGAATGGGGAAGAGGAGAGAGACCCGATGCCTGCCCAATGACATGGAGACCACCATCAGTCCTCTTTCACCTTTAATGGGCCCCCCCAGGTGGACTTGGGGCACAGGTGTCCTTTTAAATACAGTCCCTGGGCATGGCAGGGGCATGGCGTGGGGTGGTGGGCGGAGCCGGGCCTGCCGGGGTGGGGCATGGATGGGAGGGGGGAGCCAGGCTGGGAGGGCGGGGTCAGGCCTGGTGGGTGGGGCTAGCTGCACTTGCAGGAGCGCACGATCATGTTGGACAGTTGCTCCACCTTGGGCTTGCGGCCCACGTAGTACACAATGGGCAGCGGCTCCAGCACCTGAGGCACACAGCATGGCGAGGCGGACGCACCCGGGTTATGCTGGTTGTACAGGGCCAGGACCTGTGGGGGAGAGGGGAGGGTTCCAGGTCACAGGCGTCACGGAGAGGGCACGGGACGGGGTGCAGAGGGGCCCCCCTGAAGGACACCTCTTACCCCCATGTCCCCATCTCTCTGTCTGTCCTCTTCACTGCTTGTCTCTCAGTGTCTTTCAACATTTTGTTGTTGTTTTTTTTGCCAGTCCTGGGGTTTGAACTCAGGGCCTGGGCACTGTCCCCGAGCCTCTTTGTACACAAGGCTAGCACTCTACCACTTTGAGCCACGGAACCACTTCCAGCTTTTTCTGAGGAGTTTAATGGAGATAAGACTCTCACCAACCTTCCTGCCGGAGCTGGCTTTGAACTGTGATCTTGAGATCTCAGCCTCCTGAGTGCTAAGATTACATCTTTTTTTTTTTTGTCAGTCATGGGGCTTGAACTCGGGGCCTGGGCACTCCCCCTCAGCTCTTCATCTCAAGGTGAGCGCTCTATCATTTGAGCCACAGCACCACTTTCGGTTTTCTGGTGGTTAATTGGAGATAAGAGTCCCACGGACTATCCTGTCTGGGCTGGCTTTGAACCGTGATCCTCAGATCTCAGCCTCCTGAGTAGCTAGGGTTACAGGCATGAGCCACCAGCCCCCAGGCCCCAACTTTCTTAAGATTCATTCCAAGATCCAAATATTCCAACACAGACTTTCAATACTCCATGATTACCCGTGAGCCACCAGCACCCAGCTACAGCTGTCATTATCGCTGCCTGTTTCCCCAGCCCTCTGTCTCTCCCCATGTATCTCCTCATCTCTGCCTGCCTCTCATCTGTCACCCCCATCCCATCTCTCTGTCTCGCCCTAGTTCTGTCTCCCCCATCTCTGTCTCTTCCCGTTCCATCTCTCCATCTCTTCCCTACCCCACCAGCTTATCTGGTTGGTATTACTCCCTTTTCTCTCTCCTCTTCCTTAGTGTCCCTTTGTCTGCCCTTGAGGGGTGAGGCCAGACCCACCTTGCTGTACTGTGAGTCCAGGCTCCAGATGTAAGGGCAAGGGCCCAGGCAGAAGTTGGCATGGTAGCCCTTGGGCTCGTGGATCCACTTCCAGCCCAGATCCTTACGGAAGTCAATGTATAGCTGCCGGACACAACAGTTCTTCTCAGTGGAGCTGTGGGCAAGAGGAACACAGTCAGGAGCGGGCAAAGGCCAGATCGTACCTCCCTCACCTGCGTGTCTCCCCTTTTCATTCTACCTCCACAAGAATCACAGTTGCAAAGGGCTGGACGCCAGTGGCTCACACCTGTAATCCTAGCTACTCAAGAGGCTGAGATTGAGCGCTAGCCTTGAGCTGAAGAGCTGAAGGACAGTGCCCAGTCCCAGAGTTCAGGCCCCACAACTGGACCGGAAAAAAAAAAGGCTAAAATTCTAGGATCATGGTTTGAAGCCAGCCTTGGCAGGAAAATACACACACACACACACACACACACACACACACACACACACACACAATTTGCCAGTCCTGGGGCTTGAACTCAGGGCCTGGGAACTGTTGTTGAACTTCTTTTGCTCAAGACTTGGGGGGCTGGGAAGATGGCTCAGTGGTAGAGCGCTAGCCTTGAGCTGAAGAGCTGAGGGACAGCGCCCAGGCCCAGAGTTCAGGCCCTACGACCAGACCAAAAAAAAAAAAAAAAAGACTTGGCACTCTACCACTTGAGCCATGGCACCACTTCAGGCTTTTTCTGTGAATGTGGTACTGAGAAATGAAACCCAGGGCCTCCTGCATGCTAGACAAGCACTCTGTGAGAGATTATACATATTATATATAATATATATACTTATTTATTTTTTGTCAGTTATGGGGCTTGAACTCTGGGCCTTGGCATTGTCCCTCAGCTCTTCAGCTCAAGGCTAGTGCTCTACCACTTGAGCCACAGCACCACTTCTGGTTTTCTGGTGGTTATTTGGAAATAAGAGTCTCACGGACTTTCCTGCCTGGGCTGGCTTTGAACCTTGATCCTCAGATCTCAGCCTCCTGAGGAGGTAGGATTACAGGCATGAGCCACAGGTACCCAGTTCCCAATTAACCCCAAAAAAGCCAGGAGTGGAGCTGTGGCTCAAGTGGTAGAGTGCTAGCCTTGAGCAAAAAAGCTCAGGGACAGCACCCAGGCCCTGAGTTCAAGCCCCAGGACCAGTGCATGCACACACAAGCACTCACACATGTGCGTGCACATGCGCACAAACACACACACACACACACACACACACACACACTCAAAAGCAGCAGCAATGAGTAGTGATCATCATCAACCAGAATTAAGCCCCTTGCTGAGACCATTACAATACACAATCACATGAAGGAGTAATAACGTAGCTCCATGTGTGCTGGTTTTGTGGGACACATGTTTGCTGAATGAATAAAAATACCTTCCCAGGCCACAGGCTGTAGCTTGTCATGTCATGTTCTGCACTCCATTCCACTCATGGCAAATGCCAAGTCCCTGCCAGAAGCCTCAAGGTGCTACCGCAGCTGGCTGATCTCAACTTCTTCTCCAATCAACTCCCACTTCAGCCCGGCCACATCGGCTTCCGGTCTATGCCTTAAATCCAGTCCTATCGCAGGGCCTTTACGCTTCCTGTTTCTTTGCCTGGCCTACTCAGCTGCCACTCTGGCTGGTGCTTTCACTTCATGGCTCAAAGGCTTGTCACTCGGAGCGTTACAGCTAGGCCTGGCCTGCCATAGGCGCTCCAAAAATATTAATGACACAAAGGAAGATCATTTCTTCAGGCATCATTTCTTCATTTCTTTCTGAGCTCTCCTAGCCAATGTGTCAATCCCACTGATGGTTAAATCCACACGGTGGAATATGGCACTGCAGTTGTGAGAAACTATGGAACTGTCCCTGTGTGAAATGGAGTGAAATCCTGGTAACTGTGACGCTGCATGGATCATGGAAACCTACTGAATTGCTTTTTCTGTCTTTCAGACTGTCCAGACTAAAAACAGTTTAATCAGAATAGGAAAAGTAAACAATTCTCAAGATCCATTGCTTTCTGTCTCCTTCCTCTGACTTATTTTCCTTCTTATCATCCTCTGTTGGATTATTAGGCTATCTGCTTTCCCTCTGAACACAGGAAATTCTATTTTGTCTCCAAATGCCTGGCACACAGTAGGTAATCACCAAATGAGGAATACATAAGTCAATAAAATATGTTTGTTTGTTTGTTTTTGAAGTCCTGGAGCTTGAACTCAGGGCCTCGGCACCGTCCTTGCTCTTCTTTTGCTCAAGGCTAGCATTCAACCACTTGAGGCACAGCAGCACTTCCGGCTTTTTCTGCTTATGTGGTACTGAGGACTCAAACCCAGGGCTTCATGCATGCTAGGCAAGCAATCTACCACCAAGCCACATTCCCAGCCCATTTACATGTATTTTAAAAACACCAGTGGGGGGCTGGGAAGGTGGCTCAGTGGTAGAGTGCTTGTCTTGCATGCCTGAGGCCCTGGGTTCTATTCCTCAGCTCCACATAAGCAAAAAGAAAAAGAAAAAAGCCGGAAGTGGCACTGTGGCTCAAGTGGTAGAGCACTAGCCTTGAGCTGAAGAGCTGAGGGACAGCACCCAGGCCCAGCGTTCAGGCCCCACGACCGGACCCAAAAAAAATAAATAAGTAAATAAAAAATAAAAACACCAGTGTGAGCTAGGAGGTTGGCTCAGTGGTAGAGTGCTTGCCTTGCATGCATGAAGCCCTGGGTTTGATTCCTCAGCACCACATAAACAGAAAAAGCCACTGTGGCTCAAAAGGTAGAGCACTAGCCTTGGGCTGAAGAGCTGAAAGACAGTGCCCAGGCCCAGAGTTCAGGCCCACAACCGATCAAAAAAGAAAAATAAATAAATGAAATGAAAACACCAGAGGCTCATGCCAGTGATCCCAGCTATTCAGGAGACTGATATATGAGGATCCTGGTTGAAAGCCAACTTGAGAAGGAATTATCTCTACATATTCATCAAAAAGCGGGCAGTGGAGCTGTGACTCAAATGGTAGAGCACCAGCACGGAGTGAAACTCTCCAGGATTTTACTTTCCAGGATTGCGACTTGCCAACTACTGATGATGATGATGGCATTCTGGAATTCCTCTATTTCAATCCTGCATTCCAACGTTCTTCAGTTTCCAGCCCATCACCCTGGAGGCCGGGCCTGCCAACTTGCTGAAGATTCATTGCAAGATTCAAACATTCAACAGACTTTCAACACTCCATGATTACCCGCATTTGGCCTTCCCTACCTCCACTCTCTGTATATGCTCCAGCCCAGGATCCCACCATTCCTAACCCAATCAACACTCAGGACTCCTATCGGCTATCTCTGGAGACTGCAGAAATCCAAGGGTCCACTTGTGCTTTTTTTTTTTTTGTCTGTAGTGGGGCTTGAACTCAGGGCCTAGGCGCTGTCCCTGGACTCTTTTGCTCATGGCTAGCACTCTACCACTTTGAGCTACAGTGCCACTTCCAGCTTCTGAGTAGTTCATTGAGATAAGAGTCACAAGGGACTTTTCTGCCTGGACTGGCAGAATCCTCAGATCTCAACTTCAGATCTCAACCTCTTAAGTAGGTGAGAACCACCAATGCCTGGATCTTTTTTTTTTTTTGGTACCAATCCTGGAGCTTGAATTCAGGGCTTTGGTCCAGTCCTTGAACTTTTTTTTTTTTTTTTTTTTTTGTCGGTCATGGGGCTTGAACTCTGGGCTTGGGTGCTGTCCTTGTGCTCTTCAGCTCAAGGCCAGTGCTCTACCGCTTGAGCCACAGAGCTACTTCCGGTTTTCTTGTGATTTACTGGAGATGATAGTCTCACAGACTTTCCTGCCCGGGCTGGCTTTGAACCGCGATCCTCAGATCTCAGCCTCCTGAGTAGCTAGGATGACAGGCACCGGCACCCGGCTTGAGCTTTTTCTTTCTTTCTTTCTTTTTTCTTTTTTTTGGGGGGGGTCTAGTCATGGGGCCTGAACTCTGGGCCTGGGTGCTGTCCCTCAACTCTTCAGCTCAAGGCTAGCATGCTACCACTTGAGCTTTTTTTTTTTCTGCTTATGTGGTGCTGAGGAATTGAACCCAGGGCCTCATGCATGCAAAGCAAGCGCTCTACCACTGAGCCACCTTCCCAGCCCCATTTTCTTTCTTTTTTTCTCTCAAGGTTAGTGGCTTATACCTGTAATACTAGCAACTTAGGAAGCTGAGATCTCAGAATCACATTTTAAAGCCAAACTGGGTAGGAAGTCTGTGAGACTTTTATCTTCAACTAACCTCCCAAAAGCTGGAAGTGAAGGTGTGGTTCAAGTAGTAGAGGGCCAGACTTAAATGAAAAAGCTGAGGGACAGTGCAAAGGCCCTGAGTTTAAGTCCCAGTACTGATGCGCATGTGTGCATACACAGCACTTGTACATGTGCGCATGTATATACACACACGAGCATGTACGTACACACACACACACACACACACACACACACACACACACACCCCGTGAGATTCTAATCTCCAATTAATAACAGAAAAAGCCAGAAGTAGTGCTGTAGCTCAAGAGGAAGAGTGCTAGTTTAGGGACAGTGCTCAGGCGTAGAGTTCAAGGCCCAGGACTGGCAGGGGAAAAAAAAGCCAGAAGTGGAGTTTGGCTCAAATGGTAGAGTGCTACTTTTGAACAAAAAAGCTTGAGGAGGCTGGGGTGCTGGTGACTCAGGCCTATAATCCTAGCTACTTAGAAGGCTGAGATCTAAGGATCATGGTTCAAAATCTAGAAGTGGAGCTATGACTCAAAATGGTAGAGTGCTAGCCTTGAGCAAAAGAGTTCAAGCCCCAAGACCGGCACCCAAAAAAAATTGTTTTTCTGTTCACAGTACTTGGGATTGAATCCAGGACTTTATGGATATACTAGGCAAACAATTTACCAGTTGTGCCATGACCCCAACCCAACATTCAATATGTGCATGTTAGAATCCCAGCATTCTAGAACACCAACTGCTAACCCTGTAAGGATCCAACAAGAAGCAGAATGCCTGTCATCCTGGCTACTCAAGAGCCTGAGATCTGAGGATTGCAAGTTCAAAGTCAGCCTAGGCAGGAAGGTCCATGAGACTCTTCTCTCCAATTAACTAGCAAAAGGCCAGAAGTGGATATATGGCTCAAGTGGAAGAGTGTTAGTCTTGAGGGGAAAAAAAATTCCATGAGTTCACATCACAGTATTGATACAAATAAGGAAAGAATGAATCCAACAAGACACCTGTCCAACCCTTCCTGCCCAGCCATCTCAACAGCCTCTGATTCCAACACTCCAGCAAGAAAACAACCTGATCTCCACAGCAGAGCAGCCCTGGCCCCACACCCCAGCATTTTAGAACTGAAAACTTTTCCCCAAGCCCCCTTCTAAGCCCACAGAGATTAGCTCAATTCAACACACGCAGACAAGCCGGGTGCTTGTGGCTCATGCCTTTCATCCTAGCTACTCAGGAGGCTGAGATCTGAGATCTGAGGATCAAGACTCTTTTCTCCAATGAACTAGTAGAGCACTAGCCTTGAGTGGAAAAAGGGATAGCACCTAGGCCCTGAGTTCAAGCCCTACAACTAGGGAAAAAAAAAAGACACACAGACAGCAGGAGCCAGGCGTCCAGGCCGAAGGCTGTGCGCGCTCACCTGAAGCAGTAGTTGGTGTCCAGAGCTCGGCGGTGGCGGGAGCTATGCAGGGGCTGAGCCCGCTCCAGAGGGGTGGCCATGAGGAGCAGGAAGGGCCGGTTCAGGTCATGAATGGGTCCCAGGTCCCCTCGACGCTTGGAAGTTACTCCTACTTGGGTTTGGGAGTCAGTGGGTCAGGCACACACATGTGCATGCGCCCATGCACATACATGCACACACAGACACACACAAGGAGGGATGGTTCAGTAGGCAGGTAGCTAATGAGGTCTCACAAATGTGTGTGCATGGTGCACACATGTGTATTGCATAGTGTGCATACGTGTACATGCATTTATGTATGTGCAGGCACACACATGCATGTTCCCGTGAGCATGCACACACACAAGCAACATATATGGATGTGCACACAAGCAGTTGTACATACATGTGTGTACATGTATATACTCACACATGTGTATTCGTGCATGCCCATGTGTCGGTGTGCACACACGTGTGCGTGTGGATGTATGTGCACACATCGCACACATGTGGACTCATGCACGTGGACATGCATGTGGAGGTCAGCCTCACCGTTGATGTCCACGTGGAGTATGTTATCTTTGTTGTCACATGAGCAGTGGGCGCTGAAGCGAAATCCCTCTATTGAATCTGTGGGAGAGGAGAAGGGAAGACAGTATGAGGATACAGCTCACCCAGCCTGAGGGGAGAGGGAGGAAGGAGGCTCGAGGGTTTGCTCCTTCCCTGCGGTTTTTTTTTTTTCTTTGTCATCCCTGGGGCTTGAACTCATGGCCTGGGCACTGTCCCTGAGCTCTTTTGGTCAAGGCTAACATCTACAGTTTGAGTCACAGCTCCACTTCCAGTTTGGGGGTGGTTGATGGGACGTAAGAGTCTCATGGATTTCCTGCCCAGGCTGGCTTTGACCCATAATCCTCAGATCTCAGCCTCCTGAATAGTTAGGATTTGTAGGCATGAGCCACCGGCAAGCTTTATTTGTTTTGTTCTTTTGCTTTGCAATACTAGAGTTTGAACTCACAGCCTCATACTTGCTAGGCAGGCACTCTGTCACTTGAGCCATGCCCTTGGCCTGGTTCTTTGTTAGTTAATTGGAGATATGAGTTCATGGACTTTTCTGCCTTGGGCTGGCTTTGGACCAAAGATCCTCAGAGCTCTGCTTCCCAAGTAGCTAGGATTACAGGTGTGAGCCACCAATGCCCTTCTGGAGGGGCCTGTTTTTTGTTTTTTTTTGGGGTCCGGTCATGGGCCTGAACTCTGGGCCTGGGCGCTGTCCCTCAGCTCTTCAGCTCAAGGCTAGCGCTCTACCACTTGAGCCACAGTGCCACTTCCCGCTTTTTTCTTTGTGTGGTGCTGAGGAATCGAACCCAGGGCCTCATGCATGCAAGGCAAGCACTCTACCACTGAGCCACCTTCCCAGCCCTGGAGGGGCCTGTTTTGAGTAGCAGGTGTGTGTGTGTATGTGTGTGTGTGTATAAAAAGCCAGACATAGCTTTTTTTAAATAGACACTTTTGGGGGGGGCAGTTGTGAGGCGTGAACTCAGGGCCTGGGTGCTGTCCCTGAGCTCTTTTGCTCAAGGCTAGCACTCTACCACTTTGAGCCACAGCGCCACTTCCCAGACATAGCTTTTTGACACCAGCAATGGGTGTGCAGGGGTGCTAGACAAGAGCACCTCAGGATGAACTAGAGGCTAGCCCCATTAACAGATTGACAGAATAAGGAATCTCACCTCCGTGGCTCAACCACTGTCGCACAACTCCAGTGACATCAAAAGACAGCCACTCAGGGGAATCTGTGGAGGTCAGCAGCCGGTTGCTGACGTAACGCCAGGAATTGTTGCTGTACTTCTGGGGGACCATAAAACCGGGTGGGGGGAAGAATAGGAGAGTGATATCATTATATCCCCACAGACACTGACTGCACCCTCATTCTATCACCTCTCCCAAAGGAGCTTCTACCTTCACCCACAACATCCAAAAGGAAAGGCACAGAAAGAGCCCAGAGCACCGGTGGCTCACACCTATAATCCTAGCTACTTAGGAGGCTGAGATCTGAGGATCAAGGCTCAAAGCCAGCGTGCGCAGGAAAGTGCGTGAGACTCTTATCTCCAATTAATCACCAGAAAACCAGAAGTGGCGCTGTGGCTCAAAGTGGTAGAGTGTTAGCCTTGAGCTGAAGAGCTCAGGGACCAGAGTTCAAGCCCAGAGTCTAGGCCCAGAGTTCAAGCCCCATGAAGGATAAAAGGGGGGAACAAAGGAAAAAAAAAAGAAAGAGCCCAAGGCTATACTGTCTCTCTCTGAAGTCCGCCTCAGTTTCTTCCCTTGTGAGAGAATTCTGGGCTTTGTGCAGTTTGGCCTGCCCCTACCCCACAGCCACTATTGCTCACATTCTAGGGGTAGCTGCACATGGGGTTCCACAACTTTCTAAGGATTTTAGTTACAAGGTATTTGAGAGCTGTGGCTCACACCTATCATCCAAGCTACCACCCCTTGGGTTATTTTTCAGGTAAGACCTCAAGTTTTTGCCTTGGTTGGTCTCAAATAGCAATCATCTGGGCTCTCTGCCTCCTTTGTATCTGGAATGACAAGTGTGCGCCACCATACCCAACTTCAGTGTCTGAAAGTTGTAAAGAGCTCCAGGATTCAATGTCTGCACCCTTCTATCCTTGTAGGCCAGATATCTATGAAGACCCTGCGGCCTGCCAGCAACCCCATGGCCAGAGCTGAGTGGTCCATACCACACCTCCCAGGCTCTTGGCTTCACCTGGTAGAGTTCCACATGCTGCTCCACACTTGACTTGAGCCTCTGCAATCTCAGTTCTGCCCGGGAAAGCAACAAGGGGTCAGGCACCGCTTCCCGAAGTTCTGATGTGTTGAAGAACATATATACACTGTGTCCGACGTTTTGAGTATTTCGATAGATTTCTAAGGAAGAGGAGTACAGAGAGGAAGAGAATGAGAGGTTGGCAGGGATGAAGAGAGAAGACACACCTCATGTCTGGGGGGAGGAATTCTGGAGCTGAAGGGCGTGCCCTTGGGGACGGGGCTTCTCTCCTCTAGATGTAGATGTGTGTGTGTGTCTGTGTGTGTGCCAATACTGCAGCTAGAACTCATAGCCTTAAGCTCTTGACTTTTCCACTCAAGGCTGCCACTTTACCACTTGAACCATACCCATACCTCCCCTTATGGCTTTTTGATGGTTCGTTGGAGATTCGAATCTGAAGGACTTTCCTGCCTAGGCTGGCTTCAAACTATCATCTTCAGATCTCAGCCTTTTGAGTAGCTGGGAGGACTGGTGGGAGCCACCAGCATCTGGCATTGTTTCTTCCTCTGTAGAATGCAGTCTTGCCCATTCTTCTCTCCCAGAAAACATCATGTGTCCCCCACGGAGGCTCTTCTGCCTACTCCCAGCTTCTCCAGGGCTTTGCACCTCTGATGTAAATTAAATGGCAGAGAAAGGGGCAAGGTAGGGCAGAGCAGAGCATCAGCACTGGTATTCTCTAGGACCCCTTCAGCTTCTCAGCTGTGTGATGCTGGGCACTATATCCCCCATCTCTGAACCTGGGCTCTTCTAACTGAAGTAAGGCGTGGCTTGCAGCTAGTTGGTGCTGGTGGCTTTCACCTGTAATCCTAGCTATTCAGGAAGCTGAGATCTGGAGATCAAGGCCAAAGCTAGCTTAGGCAGAAATGTCTGCCAGACCCTTCTCTCCAATTAGCCACCAAAAAAAACTAGCCAGAAGTGGAGCCATGGCTCAAGTGGTAGAGTGCCAGACTTGAGTGAGAAAGCTCAGGGACAGTACCCAGGTCTTGAACTCAAGTTACAGTACCAGTACGGGTGTACGTATGTATACACACACACACACACACACACACACACAGTGTTTTTCTAGTCCAGGGAAAACTTGAGGTTAGAAATAAAGGGACAGGCTGTGAGCTCCAGTATCAACTGTGGTAGTTGCTTAGGGCCTCCTGACGTGTGTGTGTGTGTGTGTGTGTGTGTGTGTGTGTGTGTGTGAAGGTAGCAGGGAATCTGATGAAGGATGGAGGGCAGAAGCTCCCATGGCCCCCTTCCCCCCTCCCCCTAACCACCTCCCACACCATCCCCCAAGACCTATTCTGGGTCCAGTGGTTATCCAGAAAACCCAAAGGGAAAGGAAAGCCCTGGCTGGGGGTGACAGATAGGGAGAGAAGGGAGGCCAGGAAGGGTTGGGGTGCAGTAGAGGAAGAGGTCTACTAAGACGAGGGAGGCAGGATGGGAGGATAAAGATGGCAGAGATGGGGGAGGCAGACACCAGAAGATCCACATATGAGCTGAGAGACTACTGAGAGGAAAAATCAAGTGGGGAAAAATAGAAAAAGTGGCAGGGAATAAAAAGGATCAGAGTCAAGCCCCGGTGGCTCACACCTGTAATCCTAGCTACTCAGGAGGCTGAGATCTGAGGATCACGGTTCAAAGCCAGCCAGGGCAGGAAAGTCTGTGAGACTTTTGTCTCCAATGCAACACCAGAAAACCAGAAGTGGCGCTGTGGCTCAAGTGGTAGAGCTCTTGCCTTGAACTGAGGAGCTCATGGACAGCACCCAGGCTCAGAGTTCAAGCCTCACAACTGACCAAAAAAAAAAGTTACATGTTCTATGTGTATAACGAAAAAAGGAAGCAAGTGGGGCTGTCATTTGAAGTCACAAAGTGGGGTGCGGAATGACACCCCAAAGGGAGAAAGTGAAACTAGGAGGAACTGAGAGACGCGGGGTCCAGAGTGGGTGCTGAAGGGGCGTGGCCCCGCGTTGGCCCCGCCCCCGCGCCGCAGGGGCGTGGTCCCGCGTTAGCCCCGCCCTGGCTGGGTGAGGCTGGCGAGGAAGGCACTGCTGGGTGAGGGCGGGGCCGGACCTGCCCCGTCTCGCCCCGGGCTCCGCACGCGGGATCCCCGCCTCCTCGGGGCACGGGAAGGAAAGGGAGGGGAGGAAGACCAGGCCGCCGGGCGCTGGGGTTTCCCCAGCCTCCCCACCCAAGAGGAACTGGGACTTCGGGGGTTCAGGTTGCTCCGCGGGGGTCCTTCCAAGCCTCTCCTCGGAAGCGCGGGCTCCGCCCTCGCGCGTGGCACCCACGTGGGGGGGCCCTACGAATTCGGGTTTATTTTCCCCCCAGCTTCCTCTTCAGAGTTCTCTCTCTCACACACACACACCCCACGTTTTGCCCCGGGGCCTCACTCTCTTCTTCCGGGCGACAGGCACTGGCCGCTGGGCCTGGATGGCACAGGATCCCCCCTTTTCCCACGCCTGACTCCCCCTTTTCTCCCAACCCCAATGCTCGAGATGTCCTGGGGGCTTGCTTCCTCCCGGCTGGGCGCCCTCGATTCTTCTGTCCCGTCTACTCGCAGCACCCCAATACCTCTCCGTGTACCCCCTCTTTTGGGAGCTGTCCCTCCTGCACCTCTGCCCTAACGACCTGGCTAGCCTGTCCTCCCATATTTATCACCTCACCCTACCCCAAACCGCGACGCCCCCCTCCAGGCGCGCACACACACACCCCACGTGTTCCTGGCCGCCCTCTGGGCTCTTCCTGGAACTTCTGGGGTACACTGCACCCCAGTTCCCCAGTCTTCCCCATCCCAGCTCCGCGTCACGCTCTCTTCTTTCTTAACCATCAAAAGCTAGGTCTTTGCTTCCCCAGGCTCCCCTCCCACTCTCTTACCGAGGAACCTCAGGAACCCGGCACTCTAGCGAACCTCAAAGCGGGGCCCTGCCCCACTCATGCACCCCCACTGCTTCTCTAATGAGGGGCTGCCCCGCCCCGCGACCCTGCGCTCTGCTCTAGACCTTCTCCATTATCTCCTCCCCATCGCCAGACGCCTGAAGGGCTGGGGTTCAGCGCCATCCGCTTTGCCCCCCCCCCCCCCCCTGCCAGTCCACACACACACACACACACACACACACACACACACGTCCCGGCGCCGCCAGCCGGCTCCCTGGGCCGGTGGCTTCCTCCCGGTGACCCCCGCAGGCCCCCGGGGTGCTCACGGTTCTGGCTGTCCAGCATGAGCACGCGCGTGACCTCCTTGGCGTAGTAGTCCGTCTCGGGCTCGGGCTCGGGCTCGGCGCCCTCGCCGGCCACCCGGTCGCGGGTGCTGTTGTAGAGCGCGAGCACGGCGTCGGGCAGCGGGCCGGGCGGCGCGTCCCCCGGGCTCGGCGGGCTGGCCAGCCGGAGCTTGGACAAGATCTGGCCGCGGATGGCCTCGATGCGCTTCCGCTTCACCAGCTCCATGTCGATGGTCTTGCAGGTGGACAGTGCCGCGGCCGGCCGGCCCGGCGTCAGCACCAGGAGCCACGGCAGCGGCAGCAGCAGCAGCGGCAGCAGCCGCAGCCCCGAGGGCGGCATGGAGGAGGCGGCGCCCCCACGGCACGGCCGGGGGCGCGGCGGGCTGGGCGGGGACCCCCGGGGCCGAGCTGAGAATCCCCGATTCGGAGGAAAGCCGCCGGGGTCTCGCGGAGGAGGTCCGGACCCGGGGTTTCGGTCTGCGAGCTGGGGGCGAGGGCGGGTGCCCGAGGGCGGGTGGTCTGGAAAGGGGGCGCGGCGGCAGGTCTGACGTCGATCCGCCGGGTCTCCGGGAGAGCCGAGGGTCCCAAGGTGCGGGGTGCCGGGCTCCGGGCGGCGTGCTGGGGGTGCGCCCCGGGGCTGGGGTGAAGTCTTGGCGGGAGGTGGCCTTGGCGGCTCCGGGGGCGCTGGTGTCCGGAACGGGGGTGCCCGGGGAGCGCCGTGTCGGGGGTCAGGGCCGGAGCCGGTGATCGGGGGGCGCCCCGGGCCCCCAGGTCCCGCGTCCTCGGGGGTGGGGCGGGGTGGGAGGCAGCCCGGTGCCAAGCGGTCCCCGCGCGTCTCCGGCTCCCAGCGGCAGCGGAAAAGTCTCAAAACTTTTTCTCTCTCTCTCGTCTTCTCCCAGCCCGCCGGTCCC